TATTATTATTATTATTATTATTATTATTATTATTAATAATAATAATAATAATAATAATAATTAATAATGAGGTGCCCTCAAAGTTAGGAGTGTTCCGTGTTAATAATCGAATTTCCATTACCCATACAGATAGATATCGCCACGTAAAATAAGGCAAATTCAATTCAATTCAATAGATACGAACACCTATAGCTCTAAGTTTCCAAACCTCATCATACTTATTAATTATGTTAAATTGATAGTTAAATTGTTTTTGGAAAAGTTTTTACGGGAAGTACAACTTGCGATAACTACTTGGCTGTCCGGCAGACGCCGCCTTCTAGGCACAGATGCCAACGTTCGGCCGCCAAGCTGCCCTGAGCAAAAATTCGCATTTCGCCCTGAAGAAGTTTGCAGAATGACGGCCTGAACGTTGGCAGCGTTGCCTAGGACGCGGCGTCTCCCAGACAGCCAAACAGCTACTGCCTCCGGTTGCCGAAGCCTACGCTCCCCTACAACTTGCCAACTTGTGTTATGACTTGGCCAGTTGTTCTATTTTAAGAGCTATTTGAGACTGGTTATAATGCCACCAATCTGCGGTGTTCTAAATGATGTTTAAATTTCAGGTTATCAAAGATTATCAACTCTTCATGGTCGTGGGAGTTTTGCTGGTTATTGATTTGGCGATAATGACAACATGGCAAGTCACCGATCCTTTCTATCGCGAAACAAAGGAAATGAAGGCTTATGTAAGTATAGAGCCCACAGTTTTTACTTTCGCACCTACTACATGCTTACACAGTATTGCCTAATTCGTATTTACGTGCTAAAGATAATGTATTGTTAGGTTGAAGCAAATTTTGGGCATTTTTTCAATAGACAAAACTCGCATTGTAGGTCGTTGATACCGATAAGGTAGATAAAATATGCTTATATACAGTAAATTATTTCCTTTACCATGTTTTGTAGTCAAAATCCACGTTTTGTGAGGCCTTGAAACCGATAGATTGGTTTCTGGCAAAATGTCTGTCAGCGTGTCTGTCTCTTTGTCCGTCTGTGGACAACCCTGGCGCCTAAACCGTTTAGAGTTTTCGCCAAAACTAATATTCCCCAACCGATCTGGCCGAAATCATGCCCTGCGAATGTGAAACAGATATTTTGATTTTAGTTTCCTCAATAGCATTTTCAAAATGTTTCAGAAAAGACCCCAAATTTGTTCTGTATTTTTTTTCTCGGCAGAGTATGCACAGATTCGTTGACATATCTAAATTTTCGGACTTTGACAAAGTTGAAAAAATGTTCGGTATCTTCTTACAATTACAGTATTTCTTTTTCAATGAAATTTGTTATTCACCACTAGTTCAAATATCAAATATTTAAATATTAAACACAACTTTTTAAAATATGAGTATTTTTGCGCAATTTTGCGAAAAGTAAAGGCGATTGAGGCGGTTGCTAGAGAAGGGGCTTATAGAACTATGGCACTTCTTCGGAAGAACGCCGAAATGAATTTTGCTTACTTCAATGTGTATTCACAGAAATGTTCACAATTATATTTTCGTTCAGGTTCGTAGAGCAATTCAAAGCAACAAAAAATTTATGAAATATTGAATTAGCTCCATTTCAGTGAAAATCCTTCGTTTGTTATAGAATCGGTTGTAAAAGATGCATTATGTATCTTTGAGACTCTTTCAGATCAGTCAGAAACTGGAAGAGTATCTACTTCGTGAAATACTTCTTTGAAGGGGGTCCTCTCGAAGCATGTGACCGGGAGGGGTGGCTCCGGGCATCAACTAGTCACAGTAATGCCTCTGACCGGGAGGTCCTAGGTTCGAACTGCGACGGTGGCACGATTTTCGATTTCGACTAAAAATAATCCAGTCACTGTCTGGAGAATTCTTTGGGTCTGACAACAATCCCCGAAAAAAATACAATTTTAACAATGCCATAAGGTTTTTTTTTTTTGCGTTTTAAAAACATTTGCAGGGTAAGTCGCAATTCTGGCTTTAGATTCGGTTTCAGCACGTCAAAATACATAGAGTCACGTATCAAGTCTTTGGGTCTCAATTTTGTGACCCTGTGTCTTTCTGCAAAATATTTCAGAAGAAGGGGCTATAACTCATTTTTACTTTCTCACCTAAGGCCTACGTTGTGACAGAAATTATTTTACTGCTGCGGCAAAAATTGGGGATTTATCGATATAAAAACTCGTATTGTGGGGGCTCTGGTAACGAAAGAGTGGATAAATATTGTTCCTGTACGTAGTAAATTACTTCCTTCAACATATTGTGTGGTCAGCGTTTTGTAGTTACTTAATACCGAAAAATTACTTGACGGCAAAACTTATCCATGTCCGTCTCTCCAACTATTCGTTTGCGATAACCCTAGCGTTATTTAGACTATTTTCTCCAAAATTGATATTCCCCGATCAATCTAAGCATTCGAGGCCCAGCGAATTTAAAATATGTTTTGATTTTTGGGGGTACATTACATTTTCAATGTTTTTGCCCTGGTTTCAATTTTGTTTATTTAACTTCTTCCTGGGATAACGCAAAAAACGCATAAAAATGTGCAGGGTTAATTTTCGTTACCTTTTTTAAATTTTCGAAACTTGGAAAATATTTTTCAACTCTTTATACAACTACAATGTTGATGATACCATTTTTCCTTTAAATGTAATCTATTTTGAAAACTAGATATTGAAATGCTCTTGAACTTTTTTTTTTTTTTTTTTTTTTTTTTTTTTTGTAAAAATTAGTAGTTTTCGCGTAATGTTTGGTTAAAATTAATTGTATTTATACGAGATATTTTTAACCGATCCAAATAGCTTTATTTTTTCCTTGTTGCGGCAGAAATTGGCGATTTTGCGTTAGAAAAACTTGAATTGTGGAGAACTGGTGTCCAACAAGAGGATAAATCTTGTTCCTATATGTATTCCTCTAATAGGCTGTGTAACCACAATCCACGTTTTGTGAGTCCTTGGTACCGACAAAACCGATTGACCGAACGTCTGACTGCACGTCTGTGGTAAACGCTAGTGCCAAATCGTTGAGGTCATTTTCTTTAAAATAGGGATTCCCCTTTCGATCGAAACAAACTAGATTCAAACTCATCTTCTACAACTACTATGTTGAAGATAGAGAGTTTTTCTTTATGGAATATGAACTTCAAAAATAGATCTGGAAATAAAATCCTAAAAAAGTTTTCGAAAATATGATTAGTTTTAAAATGTAAATTTGCGTGGTATATACGCAATTTTTAAACAATGATTTTCTAAAAAACGTCTCCAAGCTTTTTTTATGGGTTCCTCAGATAGGGGATTATGCTGTCAAAAATCGTAGGTTCCATTTTCTGTGAACTGTAATTAGTTATTACTGAAACATTTCTTAAGTAAACTCTGTTCTAAGAAAGGTCATGTGCAATTTTTTTAATGAGTAATTTTTCTGGATGTTAATGCAATTTATAATTTTTTCTCAAAAACTTTTCCAATTTTTTTTATTAATGTTGTCCCCTTCCAATAGTGCAAATGACACTTAAAAATGGAGCTGGTCCCATTTTATATGATCTCCCTGTATTTTCTAAAGTTGTAAATACAAAATTGGCACAGAAAGACTAAAATATTAATGAAATTGGTTCTCTAAAACCAGACCTTGAAATAATGTAAAAAGAAAATTTCAGAATATTTGAAAATTGCTAATGCAAATATTCGACTTGCTGAGAGTAAGGAAGGCTGACTACTGCAGTGATGTAGTGGGGTAGTGTAAATTGACTGGTGTGTAAACTCTAAGGATCTGAGTTTGAATTCCAGAATGGAGAAAATGTTTTGCTGCTTAGAACACTTTTGTAAGTTCATGTCATATTACTACATTGTACAGTCATTACAAATAATGTAAGAAAGCATGTGCTTTTGTAGCACAACTAGTTTTTTGATACAATTTTTTTAATGAATCATTTAATTTTGTTCTCAATGAAATACACTTTAAAAACAATTCCATGTAATATCTTTAAAGTACATCAATTACAAAATTAAATACTTAACCTAGATGTAGAATTTGATAAAAAAAGTCTTTATATGCTTTTTATCATACACATTTAGCATCATAAGAGCCCTTCTCGCTACTGCTTATACTATTTATTTGTAAAAACAAGATATATTCAAAAACAGCTCCAATTTACACACACACACGTGTGTGTGTGTATATTTATATTTCCTCTTCTTTTTCTTCTTCCTCCAGATAGAGCAAAATATTCTTATAAAAGTTGCACATTTGTGATTTTCTAAATTCTCTGAATTGTTGAAAAGTACAAAAGTTTTCCCTGCTAAAACACAAAAAGCATAATTAATAATTGGGAATGTTTAGAGCTTTGATTTACAAATTTAGATTAAATATTAATGAAAATTTTAATAAAGGTTATTTTTTCTTCTGTTTCAGCCATCTCCTTCTAGTGAAGATATTCTTATTGTTCCAAAAAATGAACATTGTCAAAGTAAAAGAATGACTATATTTGTTAGTTCAATATATGCCTACAAGGGATTACTAATGGTGAGTATCCAAAAGAAAGGTAGCATTTAAGTATTTTCAAGAAAGAAAGAAAGAAAGAAAGGGGAAAAAAGAAAAAAGGGTTTTTTTTGAGACTTTCAAGTTATTATTTGTTGAAGATAGATCATAGTACTGCAGTCACGCATATAGAAAGTATATTCTAAAACATTTTTTTAATTCTATAATTAATCATTCTTCTTCTCAGAGCAAAAAAATTGAGTTTTTTTAAACTCGCTAAATAGCCTGCCTCTCTTGTTCCTCAAGAAAACACTTAATTCAGTGGCTCAAATACAGTGTTCAATGTTACCAGTAATTTATAATTGTGTGTATTCAAAACATAATATTTTATGTCTTCTTATTTTCCTCTAGATTTTTGGAGCATTTCTTGCTTGGGAAACTCGTCATGTAAGCATTCCTGCTCTGAATGACTCAAAATACGTGGGCATGAGTGTATATAATGTAGTAATAATGTGTGTGATGGGAGCAGCAATTTCATTTGTATTATCAGATAAACAGGATGCTTCATTTATCATCATTTCACTTTTCATAATATTTTGTACAACAGGCACATTGTGTCTTGTATTTGTTCCCAAGGTAAGCAATGTCAACTATAATATATGAAAGTACAATAAATTGTAGTTTATAATTTATTAATAACTCAACTCATAACTGCATTTAATACTACACATTTATGTACAAGTTTTCATAAATGGTTGTGTTTATTTGGTTATCTTGATAATGATAAAATAATATGATGAAATAAATTCAAATTAACTTTATATTAATAAAATGTGGGTATTCGCTTTCTGTATTAATATTTTTAGCTAATTGAACTCAAAAGAAATCCACAAGGATCAATAGATAAACGAATTCGAGCAACTTTGCGGCCGATGTCCAAACGTAGAGATTCTATTGCATCTGAACTGGAAGAGAAAATTAAAGATGCCAAAGCATTTAACCAAAAGTTTCGAAAACAACTTCTAGAGAAAGAATCGGAACTACAGGCACGTAAAAGTTATAGCATTTCCTGTTCATTAATTAAACCAACACAAGTTGTATTTTTCACATATCCCTGTTGGGAATATAATACATAATACATATCCTGTTTGATGATTTCCTATATTTATGTTTTAAATTACTTTATTTGAAGATGCTGGTACGTCGGCTTGGTGATGAAGGTAGAGAGATTTTGGAAGCAGATTCTGGCATGGATCGCTTAGCAGTTCCCAGACATGATGTGCTTATGAAGAGAGAGGGTAATGTGTTTGGCATTGAGTTTCCAAAGAATATTCTGATTAGTTTAAGTAGATTGTTTTTCCAGTTACATTTCCAAAAGTCTCTTTTGTCAATTTTTTCATTGTCATTTTATACAGGTTTCGCTAGACTGTAATGTATCTTTTCTTTTGCATTCATCAGATTCATTTCTAATATTGTTACAGCTCCTTCTGGTACTGAAACAACAGAAGTTAGCTCACTTTGCTCTCTAAATTCTTCACAAGATGGAGAATATGTAAATCTCACAATGGAAACACCTGGTCCAAAGTAAGCAAATTATTTTCCCTATATTTTATAGCAAAGTACTCTGTATTTTGTATCAATATATCATGCAATGCATTCCAATTGTATTGTATTTAATAGCAATGTATCACTATTAAATACATTTTTGAATTGTACATGAAAATCAAAAAGCTTTTAAATTCATTTTCATACTAAATATTTTAATTATGATCATTTTGCCATATATTGTTCAATACCTATTTCATTATGCTAATAATCAGGTACATTATCTTTTATAGTATCTTCTCTTACCTTAGATGTTGCTTCACCTACCTATTATTATCGAACCAATAATACTAAATAAAATATTGTTGATTGTCTATTGTTGAAGCTATCTGAAATGGATTAATAGTTGATAGCACTAATAACTTAATGATGAATGCCTTCACAGTAATATAATTTTTAAATTTATTAACATTTGAATTTCTCATGTGCATAAAAATATATAAAAGGAGAATGAACAATAAATAATTAAGAATTTTTCCATACCCTTTCACCTTCTGGGTCAATGATCCACATCTCGAGCAAATTTTCATCCAGTTTCTCTTATCCTTGAGCAAATGTTGAAATGGCCCCTTGTTTTGCTTTTGGATATAAATGTAACTTAAATTTACTTCTCCCCATAGCACATCAAACAGTTTTTAATCGTTTTTGGCATAAATAAATCAACATTCTCATTCCTGCTTTATTCTGCCTTGGAAGCTAAACCAGTCTCTGCTAAATCATTTTATTTTTGGCATTATAAATAATTGATAAAACCCATTAATATAGATAAAAAAGGTATTATTCACTGTATCCATTGTTCCCTTTGAATTAACTGACTGAAAATTTCCATAAATCAGAGGGTAAATTTTGTACTACTACATTGTTCTGTTAAATTTGTAATAGACAATCCAACAACTTTTATAAAACAACTTATCCTTCCTGACTAATTATTAACATTATTAACAATATATATTTCACCTGGTAAAGAAAAATAAATAAATGTTCCAGCTGTATCAAATCCTAAGAATAAAGAATCACAGTTTTAATTACGTATATACGTTGTATGCATTGTCATTCTTTATTTTTACTTTATTGGTAAGTTGCTAATAAATGATAATACAGTGTTACTTTCTTTATAAACAATACTTTCTCAAAAAATTATTTTTAATGAGTTACTTTTTGCACTGCAGGAAGAAAACAACATTTTCTACAAAACCACCATCAATAGCTGTAACAGGAAGCAAAGAAATAAAAGTTGTCCCTCCTGGTCAAGCTGCACCAGTCCTCAGGCACGAGAAGGAAATGCCAGCGCGAACAAAGCCCACGATCACCAACGCAACTACCACTGCAAGTATTGACGTTGCCGATAGTATGGCCACCCACCCTATTGTCAGTGCTGACAGGCCTCGTTCTTCAGTTTTACGCCCAGAGGATTCGGAACCACTTCTTAACGTATCGAATATAAGCACCGGTGAAAGTAACGTTCATTTCGTCCCGGAAAGCGTCGAAGAAGAAGAAGGCCATCACGACATTCTGGCCGAAGAGAAATCGCTCATCGAAGACTTACTGGAAGATCATTCAGACAGACCTCGCCTTCCCACACCACCCTCTTCACTAACGAAAGTTGTTTCATTTGGGGACGTGACAAACAGTCCTCTCGGCTCAATGACTGAAACGATTTTACCTCCCCCGAAACAGTTTCACGCCAAACATCGACACACTCCTTCGATCTCGAGCACGCCGCACGCGCCGTTCCCGTCGGCCGCGCCGCAGCACTACGTCCCGCAGCCGCAGTACAGCCAACCTTCCAAAGGCAGCTACCACGCGCAGCCGCCGTACGTGCAGCCGCCGCCGTCGGCGCTGCGCAGGCGCTCCAGCGTGCGCAGCACGTCGTCGGGAGGCTCTGCGCCCGTCTCGCTGGGCATGGGCCCGGGCGCGTCGGAGCGCAGACGGACTAGTGTGCCCGCAGGCAGCCTCCTGCCCGCGGCGGCGCAGCCGCACGGCCCAGCGCTGCACAACGTCTCGTACGCGTCGGACAACGTGCTCAGAAACGTCAATAACAACATGATTTCCGAGGCAGTGGTGCCGCAGTACTACTACATGGAAAGTGATAAATGTGATTCTAAAGAGTACATGAGAAAGCAAGCAGCACACTATCATGAAGATCCGGATGTTGTCAATGTTAAAATGCAAAGTCATTCCATGGACAGAAATGCTGGAAGATCTTCAAAATGTAGAACTACACCCTTTTTGCTCAACGGAGGTGATCTCCTTGTATCAGGGAATGCATCATCGCCAAATGTGACTAGAGATCATGGTAAGTCCTTAAACTCGAATTTTTTGGGCCAACCTACTTCTTTTGGCCCACTGAGTGTATTTTTTTCAGTTTTTTTATCATATAGAAAATTCATTTTCAATTTAATCACAAGGCAGGGTGACTTACACAGAAGGTCTTAGAACAAAATACTCGGACCTGTAGAGGGGTCGAAAATGATAGCATTTGTCAATGAATATTTGGTCAAAAAACAACAACAAATTCGTAAGAAATTCTAACTTCTCTTGAGGCAATCTTGGACAACCTCGATCCGCGGAAAGCATACACCTACCGCTAGCCCCAACAACCTTAGCGCCGATACTATCGGAGCGAAATCTCAAAGAGCGGGAATCAAGCTTTCCCGGAGGCGGTGCCTCATTTGTATACGTAATGCACAAAAGTAATCTAATATTTGTGCGCGGGCGTTTTTAGTCGGGTATTGTGTCAATTAACCAGTGAATATATAGCATTTTTGCAACAATGTAACCAAGTGTTTAGCAATCAGTTTGCAACTCTTGTCAAAATTGATATTTTTCAATGTTCGACTCAGGAACACTTCGAGGACTGTCCCCTGACATATTAGCACACATTTAGATATTGTTTATAAAATAATGATTGAAAAATTATTAACTCGTGGTTTTTGGCTCAAGAGCATGAAGGCCCTCCCCGCTTTGGAAATGCCAAAATGGGAAAATGTTTATAAATTTGCAAAATTTGCAATTTTTTTAAAATCTCATGTGAATGGCCTTTTAGCGAGAAGACTTTCGTTCTCTAGAAATGTAATTGTTTGCAAGAAATTCGCATTTCAAAACAACTTCCATTTCAATGTTTTGCAGTCATTCCAACGCACACAAGTATACTGTGGAGACCGTATTCCAGTGTCTCGCTTATACCTCGGTTTTTCTACAGTGGCCGATGACATTGTCATCATTACACCTCCTGCCTCATAAAATGATACTTTTACCAGCGGTAAGCACAGAATGGCTTAGGTCACGGGCCCCGTTGAGGAGGACATTCGCAAATTAATTAAAATGATTCATTTTATAAGGCAGGAGGTGCAACTATAACCTAATGTCGTCGGCCACTACAGAAAAATCGAAGTATAGTTTGGCCGCTACATAGAATTGGAGGTGACTGCGAATATTTGTGTGGCCAACATAAATATAGTCAATAGGTGGCTCAAAGCTAAATATTTGTCAACACTATTTTCCGAGGAAGCCTGTGCGTTAAACGGCGCTGTCATCGGTTACATTGTATTTACAAATTCCGACAAGACAAATCGGTGGAAAATTGTTTCCGATTAACATTCCAATCTGATTGCGATTTGACAATCAAATTTTACGTTTCTTCTCGCAACAAGGTGAATCACAAGCAACACAAGTTGGCTCACAGAGACTAGCATTGTCTTATTTTTTTCAATTTCACTTTTCGCGAAGAAAATAAACCATTTTGATAATGTAAACTGCTTCCATGAATAGAATGATGTTTGAATCACATTTGTATGCAGTCCTGTTATGATCGCGGATTACAGAAAAAATTACAGGGTTACAAAAACAGAGATCGCGAAATTTCTGGGATAAATTGTCACGCTTTCAAGGAGTGTTGTAATTTCATGAATATTGTTTTCTAGCTGGATTTTAATATCTTCACGTATTTTTGGTACCGAAGAATTAGTTATTAATTCCTAATTCACTACATCCTTAATCCTAATTATTTAATATAGAGTAAGCAAAATTCTCTATACTTGGATTAAAAACTACAATTTTTTTATAATACTATTAACAAACTTCTTACTATTAATTTTATATGCAAATGTAATTATTTTGACTATTCCACCCGTGAAATTAAAACCAATATTGTTTAACTATACATATAAAATGCCTGAATCCAGACGGTGGATCTTAAAAAATTTATGCTTTTTCTATTGGATTCACTTCTACCTGCTGGCTAATCATAAAATGTGACTTATCTATCTTTGGAGGCGGTACACATCGATCGCTATGTCGATGTCTAACAAACAGCGAATGTACTATAACCTCTGATTTTAACATACAATTTCAGTTATTTTCAATATTTGGTGCATTTTGAAACTATGCTGGACATAATTTCACTTATGGAATAGTCCTATTAAGTACCACTCGTGCTTTGGAAATTCTCAGATAAATCTCCTCGCTTCGCGTGTCGGGAATTCGTCGACAATTTCCAAAGCACTCGTGGTATTACCAATGATATCCGACAGAATAGAATGTGTAATGAATGTTACCCTTATCAAGTTTCAATTCTTCTTTTTGAGCGGTAATTTTACTTCAGTCAAATTGCTAGCTAGCGTTGTGAATTGCATCCTTAATCTCCAAGAAATTATTTTGTAATGAAACACAGTTCCGTCTGTTCGACAATGTATTTATTCTCTCAATTGCTTCGGACAACTCGTGCATATGACTGTGCATATAGAATACCAATACTACTCTATTTTTTATAGGGCCAGTATCTGGGAACTGCTACCTAAATCAGGCAATACTCCTATTGAGAAAGATGGTGGATCGTGAGGGCAGACGAGGTACATACTGGTTACCCTATCACAGTTCCCTCTTTTATCTTTTCTCCTTTCTAATGACTTTCAAAATAAATATTTTAATTAGATACCTGCTTCATTTTTTCTAGCGTCCAGCGGCTAAAGGAGTAGGTCGTGGATCCAGTGGCTTACTTAACCGAAGAGTGTAATTGTTTTAATTAAGAACTCTTTATATTTTCCGTTTTATTGTTTATTCTCGTGGAGTGTCTATCGCTAAATCTGTTCTCACCCATTTAAATTACAACATTGTCAAGCCCTAATCAACATCGGGGAGAAGCGCTACATGCCATTGCCAGTTCGTTTGCATACTTGCCACAGTCGCCATTACATAACTAGAACCAAGTGCAAAGAAGCGCATAGCTCTCGTCTGCCCTCAGTTAGGCCCAAGATCAACCAAGTCCTTTGTGGCTGAATTTTGGTTTTGCAGCTAGAAAGTTGCAACTATAGCAACTCAACCCCGACCGTAAGAGTGGTGGGGTGGGAGAGAGTGTAGGCTTCCGCGGCCGGAGTCAGTATTTACTTGGCTGTCCGGGTGACGCCGCGTCCATGGCGAAGGTGCCGACGTGCTCCCCCCTACGTCACATACAGTTTCTACTGTATTTTGACTGAATAAATCTAAACTCTCTTGCTTGGGAGTACGGCTGGACGCCCACTTCAATATGTCTCTACTAACATATGCTCGTAATAATTAATTTACACGGACCGTGACAACCGATTCACGAAAAACGAAAAGCAATATAAAACATAGCAAAACTATTTCTGAAGAACATGTTCTTTAATTCCGTGTCTTTTGCGAGTGAAAGGCAGAAACGGCGGTTAGTTCGCTACCAAAGAAGGGGAAGCCTCGCAGGACGTCGATCCCTACGAACCGTTTGCTACTAAAACCATCTCACTCCATTATTTATCAAAAGTCACTCTTCTGCAATCTTGTTAAGTTTACTGGCTTCTTCGTCTCACGAAAGGATACAGTTTAAATACGGCTTATTTCCACCTAAAATGCGCCGAGAACATATCTCGTTCAAACGATGTGTTAACCACTTGCTTATCGAACAAAGTGAAACGAAACAATGGTTGTTTGTAATCATTGTTGTGGAAAACGGAGACTCGAGACACCGCCCAAGAGGACTGTTCTTTTCCGTCCAATACAGCCTACCAGACTGGTCCTTGCTGAGCGACCCGAATCGTATTATGCTGATGAGATTTTTTCTGTGGTCGTTCAAAACATGCCAACATAAACTCACTGTAATAAGTCGAGGATGATGATGAATAGAATGGGATTACATATAAATTATTGATTAATGAGATCAGACAGGCAGGGTCGGTTTAACGACCTGCAGAGCCTGCAGCACTTTCGTCATGCGGGGCCACTTTAATTATTTTTTCTAGACAGTGAAGCGCGTGGTGTATGAAAGAACTTCACACCATTTCCGTGTACATATTTTTTAATAGATTCTTAGCTAAATATGGCTTTGTTAATCAATATCGAGACAATAGAGTGCACTGTAAAAAATATCTAAAATCATATAAAATATATAGAAGCTCGAATCCAGTTACGAGTACTGTCGGCCAAGTTCTGGGTCATTATTGAGACATTTGATCATTTACTGTTACATCAATATGATTTTTAAGTAAAAAAAAAATTAAAATAGTTCAGTGTCTAGTAGACATTTAAGTCCAAAAATGCGCGCTTACAGTTTAAATGAAACTTTTTTCATTTTATTTATTAATACTTACAAACAAATTTGAAAACAATATCTTTATACAAAAGAATCCATTATGTTAGGTATTATCGGAAGATATATAACAGATAAAAATTAACTAGACTAAATTGTTTAAGATTATTCAAGATGTTTTCAAAATAATTCAAAATATTGCAAATAAAATTGAAATAAAAATATTATTTTTTCAAAATATTAATTTATAAAAATTAACCTAATTACAATGTGATTAATTTTCAATGTTCATTGAACTTCGTTAATCTAATCAAACGTTTACGCAATTTTGCAGCAGAAAACTCGTCGATTATTCTTGTTGTATCCATTTATTTTAGAGTTCGTGTTCAATACTCATCAAAGAAAGATTCTTCAGTCGTGTTTGGCTCATACTACCTCGTATTTCACTCGTATTGATATGTGGTTGTATTAAAACTGAGTGAGATAAATTCAGTATCGTAACTGAAATTGTGCGTATAAAGCTTCACTACTCAAAGAAATATTTATGCAATAAATACAAACATAAGAGAATCAGTTGATTTTTTTCGGACTGTAATTTATGCAGTAACAATTTATCCAAACAAACAAATATATCTCAAACGGTTGCATTTTAACACTTAAACAATGTCGTTAGTTAGCATTAAAAATTAAACTTGAACACATTGTACATATGCTTTTGTTTTTGTCATTTTTTACAGTAGGCTCACAAAATTCATAAC